CATGATTTAAAAACTTTGCCCTTTACATAACTCAGATAACACATAGTAGGGTCCAGTTCTAAGCCCAAGACTATGGCCTGCCAGGTCATCACTTTGTCACCAGGATCATTAGGAGGTATGCAGATCAATGAGTCTTCACATATCCACACAAACAGCTGACACAGGCAACAAAAGTGTCATTTACTGATACTAAAGATGCAGGATATTTTAAGCACAGTATAGGAGTAGGTAAGAAGAAATAGAATATTTCCAACAAGTCACTGAAAAGATGTTCCATATTATTTATAATAAAAATACAATTTAAAAATAATGAAATTTTTCTCATTAAAAATGTAATTGGAACATACTGTTTTTTTTTCCATTCCTACCAAATTTAAAAATGCACAAATGCATAAATGGTCTAGTAATTCCACCATTTGAAACCTATTCTCTTGAAATGCCAGTGTATATGTGCAATAACATTTATTGTAGCAATGTCTGTAAAAATAATTGCATTCAAACAAAATATCCACATTAATAGATTAGTTAACAATTATGATGTAGCTATACCATAAAATATGATGTAATCTTTAAAAAGAATTAAGCTACTGTATATATAAATACTTGGAAATGGGTTTACCATATATTTTTTAAGTTTAAAAAGCAAGCTGTAAAGCAATTAGTTTGATTGCCTTAAAAAATGACTTGTGTGTGTGTGTGTGTCAGAGTAATGTAAATATGTATATACAAGGTATTCAAAGTATGTATGTATTACAAGTAAAGAAAAAGTTCAAAAGAATATACACCAACCTTATTAACATTGGCTATCTCTTGAGAATGGGATTATTTCTGTATTCTTTAAATTTTTTTAAGCATGTATCACATTTGTATTGCTATGTTTTCCATCCCTTGTAGAGTTTACTAAACAGAGGTTTTCTGCTTTTTCTTAATCCTCTTTATCCTCCTCTTCCACCTTCCCTCTTTTCTCTTCTACTTCTTCTTTTCCTTCTTCTCCTTCTTCTTCTCCTTCTTCTTCTTCCTCTTCTTCTTACCCTCCTCCCCGTTTCTCCTCCTCCTGTCCTCTTTTCTCTCCTCCTAACGTCTCCTTCTCCTTCTCTTCCTTCCTGTTTTCTCTTCCCCCTCCTCTACTCCCCCCTCCTTTTCCTCTTCCTCCTCTGCTTTCTCCTTTTTCTTTTAATTATTCAAATGAAGGAGCTGAGTCTTCAGGGGCAGGATCATACCTCGTTTACTGACTATACAACTGGTATTAAAAAAACAAAGTTCTGGGAAATGCAAAAATAACATTTCTATCAGCTTAAGGTACACCCTCCCACTCCTTCAGTATAATGGACTCAAAACAATAATGGATCCTTTAATCCTTTCTGTGTCTATGGTCCTCTATCTCTTAACCAACTTTTCTCTCTTCCATGGCCCTCATTTCTCTGTTAGCTCTAAGGGCCACAAATTTGTTCTGTGCTACAGATTATCACAGACGATTAAGTTTGTTGTGAATCTAGAAGTCAGTAGGTAAGTGGAGGTTGGTGACAGAACACATGGTTTGTTCAGGATGCTCTTCTGCCTGAGTGTAGTCATGCACACAGGAATGGACAAGGGCTCTTCGGTGCATTTGCCAAGTTTAGTTCTCAGAACAGAACTATGAAGTTCAGACTAACAGAGCTTTGGAGAATATGGAACAGATACAAGTTTTTTGTTTGTTTGTTTTGTTTTGTTTTTTTTTTTTTCATTATCATTTCACAAACAGGAGAATATAGTGGGCTCCAAGTCAACCAGCCAGGGTCATGACTATACCATACCCAATGTAAAACCCTGGGCAAGCTATTTAATCTTATACATTTATTTTCAGATGTTATATTCCAAGAAAGTGTTTCTCAAACTTCAGCGAACAACATGTTAGTAAGTCTTAAAATCAATTTAGTGAGTAGTGATTAGCATTGGAGAACAATAGAATAAAGCAATAAAAATTTGTGAGAAACAGAGTATATTGCATAAAAAAGAGAGTACAAAGCTAATATAAATATATATTACTTACTGTGGCCTAAGCTCAAATGAGTTTGAGAAACAATACATTTAATTAAGCAAATGTGACAGATTGAAAAGCCTCCCTTCACTGTCCTCTCAGTTCTATTCAGTTGACCCTTTCAGGTAAAGCAAGCAGAAGCTAAAGGGTTTTGGAAACATACTGTAATGATGGATCTTTTAAAAATGCGTGAGAATGCTAGGCCGATGTGAGAAGCCAGGGCAATGATGAGAGACATACTTCCTTCAAAAAATGTCCTGGGGCTACTTCCATATATTTGAGGCAATGGATAAAGATTTGTTAGAATTAGCAAGGCCTAAGGATTTGGTTTTTGGTTTTATTTGGAATTTTTGCTATTAATTCAAGTACAGTCATCACTCCATATCTGTGAGTTCTGCACCCACTGACTCAACCAACTTTGGATCAAAATGTTTGGGAGAAAAAAACAATTTTAGAATAGCACAACAAAATGTATATGAATGTGAAAGATACATTATAACCATGATTTATATGGCATTTACCTGTAAATAATGCATTAGATATTATAAGTAATCTAGACATTATTTAAAGCATATGGGAGGATATACATAGGTTATATGCAAATACTACCCCATTTTATATCAGGGACTTGAACATGAACAAATTTTGGTTTCCATTTGAATCTTGGAACCAATTCCCTATGGATACCAAGGGACGACTCTACCAAGAACTGTGACCAAAGACCTTTGAGGTTCCTTTAATTTTCCAATCCTGTCATTTGAAATTCCTAGTCTTAGTAGGTAATATTTGGAACAAAATCTTCCACTTCTTAGGTAAGTAAAGAAAAGTGAAAACATTTTGAATTTTCATTTTTCTAAAGCATTCACATAGTACTTTAATGTTTATGGATTTTCAAAAGTCCATCTTTAGTACCTCTGCAAATATTTTGCTCTGAAAAAGTTATAGTAAGCAAACACTATGAAAATCAAACACAATCGTTGTTATATTTGAGAAAAACAGGTTTAGAACAAGAATTAGGAAGTTTAGACCTATATTTTTAGAGAATTCATGCCAAAAAACTGAGTCATTATTAACCTGTAGAATCAACATTTTTCTTTATAAAATGCAATATTAGAAAGAACCTATAAATAACCGTTATTATATAACAGTATATATTACTGTTAGTTTAATTAGGTTAATACCAGATTGGTTATTTGGTATTTTCCTGCTATAATCATATGAGACATTCATTATAAGTACGTTCAGTTTCAACAGAACTAATGTTAATAAGAGAGGAAAATCAGAAAATATGACCTATACAACACTGCAATTCTTCTCTGTATCATGATTTCAGTTGAAATATATCAGTAGTGCTAATTATAGAAATTGTGGATATATCACAGAAAACACTGTTGAAATCAAAACCATACACTCTGAGTTGTATGTCTATTACCTAATACACAACAAATCACAATTTTTATCATATTTGGCTAATGTGCATCTCCTAAGTATCTGTAAGGAAAAATAGAAATATAAACGTGTAAAATGTGTATCTGTATATAGACACAGATACACAAATATAGCTGTAGGTATAGATCTATATCTGTCAAACATTTTCAATAAATATAAAGATTTGGTTTGCTATGAAACAGTAAATATCCATTATTTCCTTCTAGAAATAGTACCTGCAGATATGGTAGTTACAACTAGGGACCTAGGGGTAGGGGCCTGGGGAAGTTTAGGGACATAGATGGTTGCATGGTCTAACCCTGAAGATGGATAATAGAGAGGTTTTGAATTAGTACATAATCACATCCATAGGTTCTTTCCTTAAGACTCAGAAATGGTCCCTCTTGACCATTTGCTCACTTTGAGATGCTGAACAAATTATTTAAATTACTAAATATCAATTTTCTTGTCCCTAAATTAAATAATAACTTTGGAAAATACGTTTTCCATCTCATCATTTTAGGTTGATTAGCTGACATGTTAAGGACCAAGGAAAGAAAAACTAAATTGAAGAGTGAATATATTGTACCTAGATTGGGACAGCCAATTATAGGAGGTTGTTAGAGTAATGTCCCTGATTAATCTGACCTTGAATATTCACATCCTTATGTATTCCACTCCCACAATGACTCTGAGGTTGATCATTGTGATTTGCTTGGTTCAGTGAAATATTTACAAATGTGACAGGAGCAGATAAAGATAGCTGCACAATGGGGTTTAGCCATTAGGAATTATTTTGCTGCCATGTAAGAGTTTTTGGCTATACTACTGAAGATGTCATATGGAAAAGAACCACACCATCCCAGCAAATGGTGTCTGCTAATACCACCTTGGACCAAACAGCCTCAGCAGAGCCTGTTGGTACCAGATGACAATAGGCACATGAGTGATCCCCAAAAAGACCATCAGAAGAGCCATCCAGCTAAGCCAAGTCCAATGTGCAGAATTGTGAGCAAATAAATGGTTATTGTTTGAAGTTATTGTTTTGTTACTTAGTATAGATACTTGTGGTTTGTTATGTAGCAATGGACACTTGATATATCCATTTATCTGACAGAATAAGTCTTCCATGCTTTTGATATTGAAATCAACAAATTAAGAGTGATCTATCAGCTACTCGGGAGGCTGAGGCAGGAGAATGGCATAAACCCGGGAGGCGGAGCTTGCAGTGAGCTGAGATCGGGCCACTGCACTCCAGCCTGGGCGACAGAGCGAGACTCCGTCTCAAAAAAAAAAAAAAAGAGTGATCTATCACATAAATTTTTAAAATGTACTATATTCAGGTAAGTGAGTAAAATAGTAAATATGCAGAACATAATCAGAAAGCAAATTTTCAAATGCAATAGCAAACACAAAAATGTCTGTGCCATGCTGGATTACCACTTTGTACTGTACAGGCAAAAACAAAATAGATAGATAGATAGATAGATAGATAGATAGATAGATAGATAGATAGATAGACAGACAGATAGATTATTTTAGTCGGGGAACTTACTGAAACATGATTTTCTATGAAGCATGTGCTGGAAAATCTTGCACAAAGATTCCTCACTTTGTGTAATGGTCCTACAGTTACATTGCACTTGAAGGACTGTCCCAAGGATATCTATGTAAGCAGCTTTGCAGTCATCACTTCCTGAACATGTGAGGTCCTGTTTGCTTAAGGCGCTAATGCAATTCTCATCTTCATGGCACTTTCTAGTCACACGCTGCCAGCATTTTGACTGAAATGTTCTATAGTGCCTCCTAGACAAAGAATGAGGAAAAATAATTAGTTTTGAATAATATTATTTCACATTAACATGTGATCCCCCATCACCTAATGAAAGACATGGAACACAATGCCTCCAAGATGCTAGTACATAGTTGAAAAGTAAATTTGTAATTTGAAAAATCACCATAGGGAGTGTGAAAGAAACTGTAATCTTATGAATTACATCCCTTTATTGTGATGAAAGACAAAGGGTAAGTTGAGGATTCCCTGGATGGATTTCCCTTTATTACTAATTGTATTCCAATATATGATGATTTGAGGTATGAACTACTTCAGAGATTTCTTGGCAATGTTTTATTCTGAATACAGTTTTGTGGCTAGCCTTTGGCCACTGTGTCACACCAAGTGATTTCAAATAAGATACTTGACCTTTCAAGTCAGTTATCCCACAGGATGGGAGGTGCTTTATACTTTCTTAATGAATTAAGCAGACTAATTAGAATTTGCAATATGTTGTGAGGTATAAGATTTCTGACTATGTATTTGATTATTGGTATAATAAAATGGAATAAAAGTCTGGATAATGTACACTAATTTCATTTTTGAATTTTTTACAATCAGAATATATTTTCATTAATGGATGTAAGAATGAAAATCTTTCAATTTAATCTTTGTCACCTAAAATTGCTTTTTACTCTTTCTTGAATAGGTTGCCATCAAACATGTATCAAAGCCCTATGAGTACATGATATTTTCATGAAGTTATTTGTCCACACGGATGCTGCTATGTTAAAAAACCAAAGCTCAATTGTTTTTAATAATTGAATATTTAAGTCATCTTAAAGGATAAGCTTTTAAATATAATATTGAAGATTAATTCATGTACATTAAATTTATAATAAGGGAAATACTGCAGATTTTCTGAACATATAATTATTAGGCCAGAAGAACAAACATTCCTTCAATGCAGTTAAGGGTTACATATAACATATATCCTAAATGTAAGTTTTGGAAGTATTGATTGTCGCTTAGATAGAGAATATATCTGTACCTATATGCTATTTGTTAATTTTAAATATGTGTTTTACTAAGTTTAAATTGCATGATTTATCTACTTACAGATAAGTAATACATTTTCACTCAGAAAAAATGCCATGAAATTTTGCCAAAATGATGAACTAAATGATATTTAATTAAAAATAATATACTACTTTGGTACACTGTATTCCGAAACCGTTTGAAATATAAATGGACTAAAGTCTCCAATTAAAAGACACAGTATGGCTGAATGGATTAAATGGATGAAAAATAAAATGAGCCAATGATCTCTTACCTCTAAGAAGCATACAGCATCTATAAAGAAACACATAGAGTGAAAATAAAGGGATAAAAAAAGATATTCTATGCCAATGGAATCAAAAAAAGAAGCAAGAGTAGCTATACTTTTGTTAGACAAAATAGAATTCAAGACAAAAACTATAAAAAGAGATAAAGAAGGTAATTATGTAATGATAATGATTCAATTCAGCAAGAGGATATAACAATTGTAAATATATATGCACCCAACACTGCAGTACCTAGACATGTAAAGCAAATACTATTAGAGCTAAAGAGAGAGACTTCAACATCTCACTTCCAGCATTGGACAGATCATTCAAACAGAAAATCAACAAAGAAACATCAGACTTAATCTGCACTACAGATAAAATAGACCTAATAGATATTTACAGGACATTTCATAAAATAGCTGAAGAATACACATTATTCTCCTCAGCACGCAGATCGTTCTCAATGATAACCCATATATTAACTAACAAAGCAAGTCTTAAAATTTTCAAAAAATTGATATCATATCAAGTATTTTCTCTGATGACAATGGAATAAAACTAGAAATCAGTAACAAGCGAAACTTTGAAAACTATACAAATATAGGGAAATTAAACAATATGCTCCTGATTGACCAGTGTGCAAATAAAGAAATTAAGAAAAAAATTTAGAAGTTTATTAAAACAATGAAAATGGAAGCACAACATACCAAAACCTATGGGATACGACAAAAGTAGTATTAAGAGGAATGTTTATAGCAATAAGCACCTACATCAAAAAAGTAGAAAAACTTCAAATAAACAAATTAGCAATGCATCTTAAAGAATTAGAAAGTCAAGAGCAAACTGAACCCAAAATTAATAATAGAAAATAAATATGAATAAATATCAGAGCAGAAATAAATGCAAGTGAAACAAAAAAAAATTCAAAAGATTAACAAAATGAAAAGTTGGTCTTTTGGAAAGATAAAATCTCAAACCATCAGCCAGACTAATAAAAAAAGACAGAAAACCCAAATAAAAGAAATCAGTGATTAAAAGGGAAACATTACAACTGATGCCACAGAAATTCAAAGGATCATTAGAGACTACTATGAGCAAATATATGCCAATACATCAGAAAATCTAAAATGGATGCATGAATAAATTTGTAGACACATACAACATAGCAAGCTTGAACCACGAAGAAATCCAAATCCTGAACAGACCAATAACAAGTAATGAGATCGAAGCTATAATAGAAAGTCTCCCAGCAAGGGAAAACCTAGGACCTGATGCTGAATTTCACCAAACACTTAGAGAAGAACTAATACCAATTCCACTCAAAATATTTTCAACAATAGAGGAGCGAATACTTCCAAACTCATTCTATCAGGCCAGTATCACCCTAATACCAAAACCAGACGAGACATATCAAGGAAAGTAAACTATAGGTCAATTTTCCTGAAGAACATTAATGCAAAAATCCTCAACAAAATCCTAGCAAACCAAATTCAACAACACATTAAGATTTTTCATCATGACCACGTGAGATTTTTCCTAGTGATGCAAGGATGGTTCAATACATGCAAATCAATCAGTTTAATACATCATATCAACAAAATGGAGGACATAAAAGATATGATCCTTTCAATTGATGCTGAAAAAGCATTTGATAAAGTTCTACATTCCTTCATGATAAAAGCCTCAAAACCTGGTTATAGAAGGAATATACCTCCACAGAATAAATGCCATATATGACACACCAGACCAATAGTTAGTATCACATGGAATGGGGAAGAACTGCAAGCTTTTCCTCCAAGATCTGTAATGAGACAAGGATGTCTACTTTCATCACTGCTATTCAACATAGTACTGGAAGTCCTAGCTGAGCAAAAAAGTCCTAGCTGACAAGAGAAGGGGAAAAAAAGGCAGGGGGCGGGGGAGTATCCAAATTAGAAAGGTAGAAAAAGTATCCTTGTTTGCAGATTATATAATTTTATATTTGAAAAGACCCAAAGACTCCACCAAAGAACTCTTCGAACTGATCAACAAATTCAGTAAATTTGTAAGATATAAAATTAACATACAAAAATCAGTAGCATTTCTATATGCCAACAGCAAACAATCTGAAAAACAAATCTTCAAAGTAGTCCCATTTACGATAACTACAAATAAAATAAGACACTCGGAATATGTCTAAATGTCCAAAAAAGACTAAGCAAATTAATTAAGCTACATCCATGCAATGGCACACTCTATAGCTATTCAAACATTTAAGAATTTTCTTTTTTTAAATTTTTTCTAAGAAAAATGGGACAGATGTGCAGAACGGGCAGGTTTATTACATAGGTATGCATGAGCCATGGTTGTTTGCTGCACCTATTGGCCTCTAAGTTCCTTCCCCTCCCCGCCTACTCCCCAACAGACCCTGATGTGTGAATTTTCTTATATGCAATTATGGAAAGACCTTTAATCCACATTTAGGGAAAACTAACAAAAATAATATATAGAGAAGGATATCATATAGTGCCATCTGTTTTAAATCAATTAAATAAAAATACATGCATATTTTAAAGTATTTAGAATATTTTCTAAGCAAATACCTTGTCATTACTTTTTTAAGTTAATATATAAAAATACAATGTATTATAATTTTCCATAAATACCCGGACTTTTGTGAAATTGGCAAGACATAATCTCACCTCCCAGAGGGTATCTGTACTAGAGAAAATTAATTGAGAAATGGCCCTTAAATTGTCCTCTTTGGCTTTTAAAAAATAAAGGAATTTCAAAACCCATCATGAATTGAAAAATCTGGAACAGGGACAGAAACTGTATTTTAAAACTGAAGTGCCCTGTTTTACCTATGTACAGGCTCTTCTGCAAAAAAGGTAAGTATCATAAAGGGCTTAATATTCTCATTGAAGAAGTGGTTTTCCACTTGGAGATTTGTTTTTCATCTGAATTACATTAACAATAATTTAATATAAATGCTGGACATTCCCTAAGGCAAAATTTCCTCAGGAAAATGATAGGATTTGTCTTTTCACATTGACTACTAATATTATATAACATTTCCATCACCTCTATAAAGTACTCATTAAGGGACTATTTGCACATAGTGAAAGGAAATTGAAGACACACAGTCCTTACGCTTGAACTAATCTAAGAAAGAAATTACATGAGAAGAAATATGTATATGTATATTACAATATAAAAATTACGTGTACAATATTCCAAAGTGAGAGGAAGGGAGATGACGTTTTTTGAGTGCTTATCCCACTCCAGACCCTACACCAAACATTTTGAGAAGGTGGTTAAACCCGGGAGTCCTTGTTGAGGAAAATCATCAACTCTGTGCCAGTCCATCTGAGAAGGTGTTGATACCAAGGGGAGGTTAGTGTAAGAGTGTGTGCTTCAGAGTCTATCATAGGAAGTCTCAAGGACTGTAGCAGCAGAGCCATCACTTGCTATTAAAATATTTTCTTTGATGTGGATGCCCAGAAATACCACGCTTTGAAGGCTGAATGCTAATGGCTTCCAGATAATTAGATAGCACCTCTAAAGCCCTGGCACTGGAATTAGGCAAAGCTGGGAACCCACCTGTGAATAAATCTGATATTTTTATAGTGATTGTTATTGAAACAATGGTGTCCCCTGGCCCTGGCTGGTTAAAATATTATTAGGTTTCATCGTTGATGTAGGAATGTGATAGTTAGAAAGGCAGAATAGTAATAGTTTTAGTTCATTTGATGTGAGAAAAGTAGTGTGCTCAAACGTGTTTACCATATTTCATTGATTTCAGAAGATACCATAATTTATGTACAACAACAATAACAACAAAAAACACCTGTGGGGACTTAAATTATGACAAATATCTTTGTCATTAACCTTAAAAAATTATTTCAAATATGTCAGGGATGTTAAAATATGTAAAAAGAAATCACATCTTAGAATCAATGAAATATAGTATTTCTCTAATAAGGATTTTTGAGATGATAAATGAGTTGGAAAACCTAAATTGAATTATAAAAAGTATTTTGTCACTGCCTTTATTGTTCACTCAAGAAAAATAAATAATAAGCCTTAAAATAACTGACACACATTTGCATGAAAAATTCTCAAATACTATTTTAAGAACTTTGATATCCTATGTGATAAGTTGACGAAATATGTCAATGCTCTAGAACTCTGCTTAGCTCTTTATCACTTATTTCATAGAATGTGTGTTATGGGGAAGCAGTTCTTTTTAACAAATATTTACAAGATCTGGAACTACTTTGCAAGTTACAGTGACTGAGAATAAGAGTAGACATAGTTAAAAAGCTAAAAAAAAGAATTTTACTAAGAATCTTCAGGAAGTTGGTATCATTACTTTTTTGTTTTTTTGCCAGTGGTTGAAACAAGGGGACAAATATGACAAATCACACACTAAGCCACCTACATGTCCGAAGTCCTAGGCAGTGTCCCTCAAGCCCTTATATGATATAGGACTGTTCACACCCACTCAATTAAATCTCTCATCTCGTCCCTATTTCTCTCCCCTTTGCACACTCTACCCTCACTGCTTTTCTAACATGCCACATACATGTTTTCCTAAGCTGGCTCGTCAGTTTGCTTAGTATCTCCTCTCTCAGTATCTACTGAGAGAGGCCCATTTTCTCACTTCAGCTATGGTAAAATGCTTCCTGTTGGGGCCACCCCATTTACCCTGCAACTCTTTCAGCCCATTCACAATCCCTTTTATTCTGTTCTTTTTTAATCTCCAGAGCACTCATTGCCTTAAAACAACATATACATTTTTAATTTAATATTTGTCTTCTCTCTGGACTATAAGATCCATAGGCATTTGTTTCTCTTATTCACCATTGCCTAGAGTAGTAGTAGGTGCTTGGTTACCCTTTGTTGAATTAATAAATAAATGAATAACATTACTCCCCCAAGAATCAAAGGTGTGAGGTTGGAAAGAGGAGAATGAATACATTTCTATGATCATGGCATACATGTGTGCTAGGGATGTCCAAATGCTATTTGTATACAGCATCCTTGACATAAGTAACTCCAAAAAAGACTCTATCTTAGATTTCATAGGGTACTTTTCCAACAGGGACAAAATATTTTGTTAAATAAACAAGACTGCATCCAACCAGATAAGGACATAAACAAGTATACTCTTCCACTATCAGTCCTCTCAAGAGGACTCCATGGCCATAAATAGAGTAGGACTTCAGCAGCTCAAAATGGCTATCTTACCTGACACCGTCTTGCTATCACTCATGATAAGCACCCAGCATCTGCTGCCAACAATTCTCCCAACATCGAAGACTCTTCCTTGCAAGATTGATGGACAGCCCAGATAAGACCAGAGGAATCTTTGTTTTTGTCACTCTTCCTGGACTCGCTCCTTAACCCTTTTTGCTATCCCTTTTCTCTTAATGTTAAATGTTACTTTGTTGTGGAATGTTTAACCTATAACCCTTATATATCGATTAAGTACACTATTATGTATGGTTTGCAATACTGACTGATTTGTGGAGTGGCTTCAGTCTGTGTACCCATGGCTCTGAAAACAAAGTGAATGAGAAGTACAAAGGAGAACTGCCTCCTTGGGAACTCCATGTAGCTCATGGCTTTTGGGACTGAACAGTATTAAAGCCTGACATTGTGAAAAGACATAAATGTGTGTAGACCTGGTTATCTCTGACCTTGCACCACTCATGTGAGTATTTAAGCTACCTTCTTCTTCCTGATCTCCAGCCTAAGACAGAAATAATTTATTTCAAAGTTTGAAGAGTCTCCTTGCCAAAATAATAAATTTGTAACAGCCTTATATAATTAAACAAAAAAATTAAAAGGCTGATATATAAATCAGGTCTATTAACTCATTCATTAGACTAACTTGAATACATAATTTTTAAATACTATTTCATGGCTACCATATTTTGACATGCTGATTTTTTATTTCAAAAATCTATTCTGCATTTGAATTTCAAAGACGATACTGCACATGTACCACAGATTCAAAAAAATATGAATTGTCTGGCTTTATTTACACCATGTTGGATGATGGTGGGAACTCTAGCTAATGTAATGAGATCAAGTGTTAGGACTGGACTGTAACAAATAAGGTGCCGAAATAAGAAAGTAATGTATGAGTGTTTTTACCCACCTGCATAATTCATCATTTTGGCAGCTGCGAATTACATTGAGGCAAGTAGGGGGTGGAACCATGTTCAGTGCACATGGCTTGCTGTGAAGAGCTTCTTTGGACTGCTGACAAGGTATATCAGATTGAGAACAGTCACAAAAAGCCAACATCTGGGCAATGTTAAAAGGTATATTTTGATAGAAGAACCGTATGGCTGCTTGGCAGTGTTTCACATCACACGGATTTCCATTTGCTGAGCAAGCTTTAAGGTAAGAGGCCAACTGTGCATTACAGACCACATCCCCTACACATGCCTCTGCCACTTCCAAACAGGACCACATCCCTTTGAATCCTGAAAGCAATGATATGCCCAGGTCGTGGAAAAGTAAACACAAAGCTGTACATACAGAATCTGTAAAACACTGTGAGAAGTCTATGAGCAAAATACAATGATGTACCAATGTCCTATTTTTGGCAAACATTACATCTTTTAGAGTAAATATGAATTTACTGAGACCTAAAGAGTAGACTTATTGGAATCATCTTTCATCTATACAGGATACACATTGTTATCTAGAGTGATGGGAAGTGTGCAGGGCCAAAATTGAGCTGAAGGAAAAATCTCCCAGTCCAGGGTTTTCAAATGCAAACAATAAATCTTCAGAAATTGCATTTGAACTACATAGCTTATGGTTAGCTCATTGGCTCAAGGCAAAATGATTCTTCTTCTGCTTCACGTTTTTGTGAGGGGAATCTTGAATAAAGGTTCCACATAGTTATTCTAGCATACGTAAATGTTTATATTCCTACAGAAACACAATTACACACAAAAACAGTTGGTGCCAAATAACTTATATGATCACAAATATCCATGAAATGTAATCAATATCTACTATTTGGGTTTTTGTTTGTTTCATTTTTGAGACAGGGTCTTGCTGTATAGTGGCGTGATCCCAGCTCACTGCCACCTCCATCTCCTGGGCTCAAGTGATTCTCCTGCCTCAGCCTCCCAATGAGCTGGGATCACAGCCACATGCCCCCATGCCCAGCTAAGTTTTGATTTTTGTTTTTGTTTTGTTTTTGCAAAGACAGGGTTTTGCCATGTTGTCCAGGCCGGTCTCAAACTCCTGGGCTCAAACGATCCACCTACCTCAGTCTCCCAAAGTGCTGGGACTACAGGTGTGAGCCACTGAGCCCAACCTGGTATTTGGTTTTAATTACTAAATATTTCTCAGCACATGTATACATTGATAACGGAGGGGCAAAGTCGTTGCTTCGATGGATCACTAGTAAAAGAAATGAAATGACTTGGTTGCATTTTATTATATTAGAACTGTTAAACAACGTAATTTATTTTGTATTGGCCTATCTTTAGGAAGCCTGGTAACTACCTTTTAAATTATATTATCAGGTATTTGCAATGCAGATCAAAATCATAACTTATCAACATTACCATGATGGGAATGTGTAGTTAGATTCCATTTGAATTTATCCTCTCTCATGTTATCTAGAAGGAAAACAAAGAAACTATTTCATTATTGAACAATTTTCTGAATTTCCTAGGAATATGTGAGTCACATTTATAAATGAGTAAAGTCCACATATATTCAAGCAAAAGTACATACAACGTTATGTAACATGTATTTAGCCTTTGATATTCAAAATTAGTGTGGTATAGATGAAGAAAATAAGCCTCTGAAATACCATTCAAGTGAGCTAAACAGCCCTGCTTTGAGGATTCAGTTACTTGAAGACTTAAATAAATGCTAGTGACTAGACTGCATGCATGGAGTAAACAAACACTGGGCGCTGACTGGGGGGGTGGGGGGGAAAGAAAAAACAGAAGGAATATTTTCTGAACACCACCTCCCACCACAGTCCAGTATAGAAACCCTTCTCAGTAGGGTCTTCATTAATTTGAAATGCAATTTTAAACCCAGTTTCACCTCTGATTATCTTATCCTCCACGAGTTCTTAGAAATTATAATTATAGTATTGAAAAATCTCATTAATGAAAATGAATGTTCAGCTGATTCCAAAATCTTTAAAGGAACATTGGTTGGTTCCCTACTATGTACCAGGTGAAAAACTGAGGATGTAAATCTGCAGTCCCTGTCATCGAGCATCCCACAGCCTAGAAGGAAATACAGACATACAAAACAAAGCCAAAAGAAACTAAAAGGAGCACTAATGTATCCATAACGTGGCAGGGGAATCAGATGATAGGATTTTCATTTTGAAATGAAAATTATTATTTTTTTCATTGGATATTAAGATACTAACTTTTGTTATGGCATTAATGCCCCTTCATGATTCAGTATGTCCTAATCTGAGCTGTTTGTTCATATTTCCTGCCTTCTAGTCTAGTGCATATATAAGATGGTACTATCGCAGGAAGCTTACTTCTACCCTCAGGTGTGTCACGGCCTTCCAGACTCCTTATATGGTCCAAGCTATTCTCACTGTGCATGGTTTTCGTTTTCTTAATTGATCAAGTCTCAGCTTGAGAACCACTCTTCTTCTTGATCCCACCCATCATCCCACCTCTCTGAGGAAGATCTGGAGGTTCCAACTTCTGTGCTACTATTCCATATCTAATAAAATCCCAATAAACAGATCCCAGGGAGTCATATAGTTTTTGTAACAGGTACAAAACTCTAGGCTAGACATTCTTTTACGGATTAACACCTCTGCATTGGGACTGATTGGTAAGGCTGTGCCACTGACAAAAATATATTCAAGAAACTGCTGTGTAGACATAAACAAACAGCAGCTTCATTAACTGTTATTAACTGAATGTTTTTCCCATTACCTCTAAATTTATATTTTGGAGCCGTAATCTCCCTGTGCAGTTGTGGAGTGATGGTGTCTTTAGGTTAAATGAGGTCATAAGAGTGTGGCCCTTATCAAATAGGATTAGTGTCCATATCAGAAGACTTCAGGGAGGTAGCTGTCTATCTCCCCTGGAGCACTCACTGAGGAAAGGTCCTGAGAACACAGGGAGAGAGAGGGTGGCTGGCTATCTACAAGCTAGTAAAAGAGGACTCCTAGCCAGGAACAGATCCTAGGGACTTTTATCTGAGATTTTTCATACTCCAGAACTGGGGAAAAATACAATTTTTGCTTTTTAAGCCACCCAGCCTGTACTATTTTGTTACGGCAGCCAGAGTAGTCTAATTTACTTACCAGATGAGTACTTGTTATCAACACAACAAAACAGTTATTTTTAGTGTCTGAAAATAAAGTGCTTCTTAGAAGGTATTATAATACTTATACATTAAACGCTAATTTTATATGAAATTAACATTTATACATTAAATATAAAGCTAGCATTTACACACACACACACACACACATACACACATTTTTTCCCAGAGGGTATTTTAAACAGTGGCTTTTACTGAAAGAGGAGTTGAAGGTCAATATGTTTTAGAAACAAATAAAAGTATTCACTAACAAGACCTACATGTGAGTTATAAAATCCTATACAATTCATCAGAAAATACCCAACAATCCCTAAAATATGCTAATATATAATATTAGAATCAGAAGTACTTCCATGTATCTTCTTTTTCTTAACATGATAGTATCAGAAACTAAACTCTTGTAAATATTTTGATTTATATTTTATAATCTGATAAACATGCTTACAATAAACTAGTAGACAAACATGTTTCTATAAAATGACTAGTTGAATTAAATGCAACCGATATTTCTTTTTTAGGGAGTATGTGGCAACATTTAAAGCAAAAGCAAAAGAAGATCCTCAGAGGAGACTGAGAAGAATCATCCATGGAAGCAAGAAGAAAAACAGAAGAATGTAATATCTGGGAGCCTAGCTTTTCTCTAGCTTCATTTCCCTGTAGCTCTTGCTAATGAATGCTGCCCATTTCCCATATAGAACATACCACGATATCATTAGAATGTGTTTATATCTACTTTGCTAGCTTTATAGCTTCCAAAATATTAATTACTCATCCTTATAAAACATTTATCCTTCTTTGAATTTTATGCTATCTGGTTGTGCCTCCCTCTTTTCTCTTGTCATATATTAACCTCAAAGTCTTGCCCTGATATTCAGCATTGACTCAGGTACTGTCTCAATATTCTCCTCTACCTCAGATCTTGTCATTGTGCTAAGTTACCTCTATGCCTTTTGGAAAAAGAACCATCTTCCACCCTTAATTCACAATTCCTTAACCATTGCCCTTATGACCTTCACCGACACTCCAACTACGCCACACCAATGATCAACTTCTAGACCTGACATTGACATGAAGTTCTCTCTCTTTCAATTGCAAATATTAATTATCTTACTGGCTTCCAAAGCTTCACATTCTTGATTACTTCAAGTGCATATATACCTCCGGAACTTTCATCTTTTTATTCACTCCCAATCTTAGCATCATCTCCTGGATTCACAGACTCTTTCCAGCCTAGATCACTCACCCTAATAAAGGAAGAGTTTCTTGTTACTGTCATTCCGTCCTTACTTCTTTTACTTTCTAGTGATTCTCTATAAAACTCCAACCCTATAAAATTTTGCTGTGTGGCTTTTCTGCTCATTTATACTGTTTTTTTTTCTCACAGAAAAGTCACACTACCATCCTAACTAGTATCACAACAAATTAAAAAAAATAATTACCAGCAATTTTTCTTCTAATGTGTACAATTTCAGATGTCACCAGACATTATGCATTTACATCAAGCTGCATATCCTACCATTTCCTTCATCATTCTCATAAGATGACCTTGACTCTCATGTTAGCAGAGGCTTCAACTGGGAATCCCTTTATGCTGGAGGACAATGCTGGGAAAATGGCATGTGGGATCCATAAGATCAGGGACTATATCTTATTATCTTACATTTCTACTCAATTATTATTCAATAAACATATTTGAATAAATATTGAATATTATTCACCATTTAACCCTGCATAATCAATTGTATCACCCTTTCTAAATCATTCCCATTCTCATACAGAACTTTTTTTTCCATCTTCTGGGGAAAAAAGCCCTCTTTTTACCTCACTTATTTATCCAAGCACTGCCCTATTTCCTGTCTTCCTTAACAACAATCTTTCAAAGTGCAGTCCATATTTTCTGGCTCCAATTTCTCTCTTCCTATCCCCTTATGTACTCTCTAAACTCCGCCTCTAATCCTGCCATTGTGCTTACCATGCCACAGATACTGTTCTTATCCAGTTCATAACCTCCACATTGGCAAATGCAATAGCTGATTTCTGATTCTGAAGTCTCTACCAAATCATTTGATCTTCTTAAACTTTCACCCTTCCTTGAAACTCTTTCTTCGTTTTTCTTTTGGATGCAATACTTTCCTAATTTGCTCTTTCTGGCAGCTCCTTATCGTTTTTCATTGCTGATTCCTTCCTCTTCTCTCACACTAGTAAATGTTGAAGTATCTCATAGACTAGTCCATGGACCTCATTCATTTCCTTTTTTATTGACCCACTGGTAACAAAATATATCCAGAATCTGTTATCATCTCACCCTGCTACCACTCTGGTCCAAGACACCATTAATTTCATTGTTAATCTCAACATAAAACAAGGTCCTGACTGAATTCATCTTAGTCGTCAAGGAAGGCTGGAACCTCATTCATTTGAGCATCCTGTATACAAATTTCTTCAAACATTCCCAAATGCAGTCTACTTTAGAGGAATCACTGCATTAACAATTCCACAAAGCAATTTCTTTCAGGCTTTTTCTTAATACTGCACACATTTGGCCTTCATCAAGGGTCTTTGATTGTTCTGTTTCTCTCTCACAGATTTTCCTAATATTCTCTTACAACAAAGTAAGATGTTCAGATTCCTGACAGACATGTGCTGCTATTGCAGTCACCCTTTACTTCAGCTATTAATGGTGTATCTTTCTTATGGAACTATTGTGTGATATTTGTGAAGTCAAATCTGAGGACAGGGCTGATTCTCCTACAAATAGAGTAAGGTTGACTAAAAATTAAATAAATGAATTTACTTATGATTTTTTAATATGTTTTCAAAAGTGTACAGACATGTTTTTATAAATATTCCAATATCTGTTATTTTTCAAAAACCATTTAAAGTTATTTCAAGAGAGCTATTACAAATGATCTTGCATTTTTAAAAACTGACATGTCAAAAAAACACTACAGTTTATAGAACCACATGTTAATGTTCAATTTCTTTTAGTGATATTTTTCTTCATCACTTTTGCTTTTTCATTTCATTTGATGATGATTTTTATATATTCTCCAGGGTTTACACATAAATATTTCATGAATGGACACATGATTTAGATGCTCAAAATATGTTTAATTAATGAAAAACACTGACATTGTATATTTACTAATCATTTGCTAAGTGTCAGGCATTATGCTAGGTGCTTTAGCATATTTTTAAAAAGAAATAACAAAACTGATTTTCTTGAGAATAGAAAAGTGCATGTCTGTGTACTCTGGAGAATATTTTGGGAATGCAAAGCAGGGAGAGAAAATCGTTTTAT